CGTGTCGCATCACTGCCCGGAGGACGCTCGTCCCGAGCTGTAGGCGCAATGTAAACAGGAACTGGGCAAGGGAGATGCGGGCACGCGCAGAGGCAAGCCAAAAACTGAAAAGACAAAACTTGAGGCATGTTTTACACGTGAATTGCTATGACAAAAAGACGCCGGCCGAGGCCAATAAACGGGAATGGGAATTGGGAATGGGAATGGGAATGGTAATGTGCATGGTAATGGGCGGGGGCATGGTCGGAGTGAAGGTGAAGCGCATAAAAATTGGCATAAACAGCCCACGGCTAAGAAGAAGTCGTCTTCAGGGTTCTCGTTTGTATCTCTGCAGCACTCAGCGGTCGGCTCGGTTCGCTGGATTGTGTCCTTCCTCCACGCGACGCGCTTTATGGCCGCTGCGGATTCGTGGAAAACATTCAATTGATACGAAATTGCTGCAATATAAATGCAGTGCTGCCGATCGAGCGGGAGACGGCGTGGAAGAAGGTGGCAAGGCAGCGGGGTCAGGTATTTGGCACATAAATGCGGCAATAAAACGATTCTCTTGCCGATCTTCACTTTGCATTGTGAGTGGCTGGTCAGAAGAAAAAAATGGCAGCCAGGGACACGCGTGTTACCAACTCTCTCGATCTCTCTCTGAAAGTGTGCTGCAGCAGCAGAGGTAGGCACAATTTGTTTACAGCATTGTTATTGAGACAAAGTCACTGATTTTCAAGCAAAAGCCAGTGCTTGCGCTCTCTCTCTCTCTCTGTCTCTGTCCCAGCTCTCTGGTGCAAAGGCATCGCTCATCGCTCACAATGATGTTGCAATTATTGAACCTTCTGTATTTTCAAATTTCCATCATTAATAACACAGGCGGAGACCAAGGTGAAGGCAAAACAGCAACAGCAACAGCAACAGCAACAGCAACATCAAGTTCCTTGGCAGAAGGCGGCGAAGGAGGACGCTGTGACCATTAGCGAGTTTCGGCGGAATACGCGTGAATTCGTTTTGTCTAACAATGCGACGACTCACTGAGCGCATCAATTGATGGAAAAATGGAATTTTCGGAATGCCAAAACGCCGCAGGTAAACATTGCTCCAGCCCGCTGCATTCGAGCACTGCCACAGCCGCAGCCTCAGACTCAGCCAGAGATTCTGGCGCGGCACAAGGTACGTGCAGCCATTAACGGTCGCAGCGAGGAGCCGGCAAGCGCATAAAGATCAGCTATAATTATTCATCTTGGGTGGGGGGCACGGTCCAAGGCGATGCTCTGGTACTCGCCTTGGGACCGCTCACTGTGTTTGTCAACGCAGATGCTAATCACAACATTAGGCCCGTGCAGATTCCACTTCAGATATCGTTTCGTCAGTGTGCATCCGTGTGTGTGTGTGTGTGTGTGTGTGTTGCAGATTCGTTGCGCTCGCCTGGCAAAAACCCAGCATTTCTGGCTGCTTGGGCTAACCTCGCGCCCCCTCTGGCGTATCCGTAACTCAAGGATAGTCGTAATTGCAATTGGATATGTATGGGCTGCACTTGAGGGACGCTCCTTGGCCAATGCATTGGTTTACGCTGCTATGAAGTTGTCCAGCTATTTGCCAAATAGATAATTATTTGTATCTATTTAGCAGCAGGATCGATCCCAACGACATCCGGCAGCGTTGCCGAAGGTGACGAACGTCAAATGTTGGGTTAACCAAGAAACGTAGCTCGATTAGTTGCACATTAAAGAAATCGTGCGATTAGTGAATACATTTGATGGCAACAACTTGGCAAAATTCTCGGAAAAGCTGGCTTAAAAATGATGTGCATTTAATATTAGAAGAATGCTGCGTGAAAAATACTTTTTGGCATGTGGCATAGATAATGTATAACTTTTGCTAGCTGAATAAAAATACTACGTGAATTCGGAACATTTGTCATGGTTGGAAAATTTTGTGAATATACTCTTCAAGATTGAAACTTATTTGCCAGGTAGTATATAAATATAAAATTTATTTATTATTTTTGTGACCATTTTTGGGTTCTTGCAATTTGCCTTTATACATGTTAAAGCACAGCACCTCGGAAGCCAAAACTACCGTATACCAACATCTTGCACTGTTGTTCTTCCGCATCTTACTCGTAAGCAAGGTTCTAGGAATAATCCATGGTTAAAGCTACGTGGCAGTTGACATCGAATATCTTAACTCATACCATCTTTTAAGCCCAGAGCAATGCCAACAATGCAGCTTGCAAAGACAATTACTCCAGCGCGTTTCATGTTTTCCCTCAATGTAGTTTCTTAACGGACTGCCGAATCCTAAGTAATTGGCGCCCTATTTATTCAAAAATGCAACTGGAACTGGAACATTCTCAATTATATTTCAAAACCCTTGAAATTTGATTACGATTTAAGTGAAGCTGAAACCAAATGGAAATCAGGAAAAATGCTTGATGATTGAACATATATACATGAGTCGAGTCTGATCAGATACCCTGTTCACTGTGTTAAGTAGGAATATCTGTCAGTGCTGATTGACTGACCGATTGATTTAAAGTCAACCCGCCCGGCACGGTGGGAAATAAACATTGTTGTATGCTGTGCTATGTGTATATACTGCTATTTTAGTTCAGTTTTTCTGAGTGAAGATTGAACAAAGACTGGTTGGATCGAAATATTATAAACATTATATATAGGTCAAATGATTTTACCAAAAAAAAGGTAAGTGAACGTGTACAATGGCATTACTATTTGCGGAATTGCCTTATTTTTGCGCTAGGAACTTCATTATATACAGGTGTTGGTGCACTCCCATTCACTGTTAAAGCGATTTTCGCCGTGCTCACCACATCCACCCCAAATAAAGAGCTTGCAACGTTTTCCATGTAGAAAGTAGGACCAACGAAGAAACTTTTCAGCGCAGGGACCTTTCAGTCCTGGTGCTGCTAGGCACCGATCTTGAAGGAATGCAAAACTATGGCTTAGAACAATATAAAATCAAATATCTTAAGTCTTACCATCGATTTCACCAAAGACAATGCCAACGGTGCAGCCTACAAGGAAAATCAATGCAGCAACTTTCATGTTTTCCCTCAGAGATGTGTCTAAATAAACTGATCGGATAGTTCGGAATGTTGCCTTGTTTACATTAATTCAACTGGAACTAAACAACACGAAATAATATTTTGTAGCTGTTGTATAATGCGCCAGTAGTCGACTAGGCGATACCCCTTACCTTAGCCAGAGCTGACATATGTTAAATATTTGTCGCATATATATATTATTTAATTAGATTATTAAATATTCAAAATAATTCGATTTTAATTCATCCATACAATATAAATATGTATATGGCTAGCAGCTCTGAAGATTGAAGTCGAAACATAATCTTCTGCTCATTAAACCTTTGACACGCATTCGTCATCCAAGTTGGGGGATTTTTGCGAAAGGTCGTGCTTTACACGAAAGTCAGATAACTTTTTATGAATATCTTCGAAAATTATTTTGAATCCGATCGGATTGTAAACAAAAAACCTGCATATAACCGTTTTATAACAATTTACCACAGTTGCGGGTGAAATTTCCCGAATCGCTGAAACACGTATTCATTAAGTTCCTAGTCCTTATATGTGTCAGAACCCCATTTTCCATCGAGAACCCTTGGATTTTGTGAAAAGTGTAAAAGATGTCTCGGAACTCGGAACCTTACCCATCAAATCTTCTAGATCCATTTCCACCAAAGCGGAATGGATTTTGCGAAAAGTGTAAACACTCTCAAATGAATTTGTAAAAGGATCTTTCAAAAAATACTTTCAATATTTTTGAAATCCAAATCTTTGCGTGTTGTCAAAGTAAAACCAAACAATCTTAAGATCTGACAAGAGTGCGGCTCAGTAGGAAATCAACAGGAATCCAATCGAGCATTGGGTCTGTGAAACAAAAGCTTAAAAAAATTGAAAACTTTATACAGAGTATACTATTTATATGACTGCATAATTTTATTATTTTACGAATTGCCGAATTTTGCCGCTATGAAACTCAGTCAAGATCTTGTATACAGTTGTTTATGCACTCTATCTCAGTTTCAAAGCGATTATCCTTGCGATCACCGCAGCCACCCCACATAAATAGTTTGCATCGTTTTCCAGAGTAGGACCAACGGGGTATACTTGCCCTGCACTCACCGGTTTTCGCTGGTTTTTTTAAGCAGCGATCTTGGAGGAATGCAAGGTTAAACCAAAGGAGAAATGTCATCGAATAGCTTAACCCTTACAATCATTTACGTCCGGGGCAACGCCAACAATGCAACTTGCAAAGAGTAACAAAGCAGCGAGTTTCATGTTTTTGCTCAATGAAGTTTCTTCTCAAACTGCTCGACAGTAGCACATGTTGCCTTACTTTGCCATCACTTTAACTGGAACTAAATGACACATTATTTGCTTGATTAAGTTCTCGACAAAATAACATAGTTTTTACTTTACTTAAATGAACCAGTGGCCGACTACGCGATACACCCTACCTTAGCTAGAGGGGATATAAGCTAGAAAGTTTGTTGTAATCTTCATTTAAAAATAATAGTTACTTTTCCTGTGCCTATTAGCTATACTGGCAATTCATTATAAAAACTAAAAACTGATTATGCTTGGAATTAAACATCCAACTAATCGGCCAATGCCATTAATACTCGCTCGTCCATTAAAGATATGTACATGTGATATTCCTTAAAATGTGGTTCCTTAAAACTTGGTTGGTATTAATTGTTTCCCAATGTTTCCAGTATTTGTGAAATCCAAATCTTTGCGTGCTCTCTTAATGTGTTGTCAAAACGAAACCAAACAATCTTAAGATCTGACAAGAGTGCGGTTCAGTAGGAAATCAATGGGATACCACTCGAGCATTGAATCTGTGGAACTACCGTTTAGCTGTTATCGAAAATAGTTCCCCGAAACAGACATTAACTCGAAGTGGAACTGCAAAATGTGCTGGAAAATGCAAATACAACGGGAAATGACCGAAGGAATTAAAGACTGGCCACCCAGTGCACATGACATATTATTTGTCAATTGTTTCAAAAAATATTAATTATGTAGATTTATATTGAGCAGCTATCTACGCATTCTTCCCTCGTATCAAAGCGGTTTTCGACAATGGTCAAGCGACATCCACCCCAAAGGAACTCCTTGCACCTGTTCTGATTTATCTGATAATACCACTGGATAGTACCGGCTCTGCAGATATTTCCCAATAAAGGTTTCTTATAACATCGTCCTGAAGGATTGTAGCAGCTTTTATTTAATTTCCATCAAGAGAATATCTTCACACTTACCATCAAAGCTCTGAGCATTCCCAGCAATGAAACATGCAAACAGCATGAAAGCAACGAATTTCATATTATTCTTTTTTAAGATTCTTTCGAATCTGTTGGCATTGGTGTCTGGTATCTTTATTGGAATTTATTCAACTGTAAACCATGTAAGAATTAAGAGCTTGATTTGAAGTAGATGGACCATATATATAAAAGAAATGGCCAATTTCACAAGCGCTAACTTAACTTAATTTAATTTAATTTAAGTACGATTTAAACGTAGCTGAAACTAATTGAAAATCAGGTAAATCGGGAAGTTCTTACAATTTGATGAAAAAATAGATTTCAGTCCAGTGTTGAATGATCAGTTGTTGCCACGTAACCTGCCTGAGCCTAGGACTAGTAACTTGTTTTTAAATTCGCCAGCATCGGTGGCAAATGGGTGTGAAAATATTGTAACTCATTTGTATGCCTTATAAATAGGTATGCAACAAGCTGAAGGTAGTTTCTCTGACCCCATTGAGTACATATTCTTGGTCGGCATCATAGCACAGTTGATCTGGTCTGTCCGTATGAACCTATAAGAGTTAAAGATTTGAATTTTTATAAAAACTGAAAAACTTCATACTACTTGTATGACTGGATATTTTTTTTGGAATCTTCTGGAATTTTTGATTGGCATTAGCCAAATTCTTTTGTACAACTGTTTATGCACTCCTTCTCAGTTTCAAAGCGATTATCCTTGCTATCTCCGCAGCCACCCCACATAAATGTTATGCACCGGTTTCCTGAGTAGGACCAACGGCGTGTACTTGCCCTGCACTTTATAGATTTCCCTGGTTTTCTTTAAGCAGCGATCTTGGAGGATGCAAGGTTAAACTAAAGGAGAAATGACATGGCAATTCATTAAAAAAGCTTGTGGCTAGTGCCTTAAATATGTACATGTAATATTCCTTAAAATGTGGTTCCTTAAAACTTGGTTGGTATTAATTGCTTTCCAATGTTTCCAGTATTTGTGAAACCCAAATCTTTGCGTGCTCTCTTAAAGTGTTGTCAAAACGAAACCAAACAATCTTAAGATCTGACAAGAGTGCGGTTCAGTAGGAAATCAATGGGAAGCCACTCGAGCATTGAATCTGTGGAACTACCGTTTAGCTGTTATCGAAAATAGTTCCCCGAAACAAACATTAACTCGAAGTGGAACTGCAAAATGTGCTGGAAAGGAGCATCCCACTTGAAAATGCAAATGCAACGGGAAATGACCGAAAGACTGAAGGACCACCCAAGTGCCCATAGGTTGGTTAAGTTTAGTGGGGTATACAATAAACTTCTTAGTAAAATGTGATGCGCTTTCGAGTAGCCACTTGCTGTTTTGGAGTAGCCTGCTCCAAGCAGGGTTTTTGGGACAAGCCGAAGGCCGAACCTTCAGCAAAGCATCAGAAGTTGCGACAATTAGTCTCATGGAGTATGTAAACAAAGTGCAAGAGTTTTCAGAAATGTTATCGACAAAGGATTTGGGCATCGGGTTACACAAAGTGTTGTTTGGTTTTCTCTTGGAGTGGAGTTGAGGGCGGAGGCAACTTGGAACATTGCATAATTTATGGATAGCGCCGCACTGTAAACATACCAAGTGACCAAATAACCAACAATAGCATGTAATCGGATCGATCTTCTACGGTCAAATACTTGACACTCCGCCAAGCGGGATGAGCTGAGCTGAGCTGAGCTGAGAGGAGTCGCTGCTGTGGCGCTGAAGGATGCGCCAAAGGATCTGGTGGGTCGCACATGTTTGCAGTCATAAATCAGTGAATGTTATGGCTGCCTTCGTACTGTCTACCATGTCATTCGGAAAACAACGCATTTTCACACTTTTCGTCGCCCCGTAATTTGAATACTTTACAAGCGTTCGCTGGAAACCCAAACTGAGCATTATTAATTACACACTTGGATTGGATTTCTCGCGCTGATTAGAGCTGTAAGCGATATGCCCTCCGGGCCTCTACACTGCATGTCAGTCAGTCTGTCTGTCTTGGTCTGTCTGTCTTGGTCTGTCTGTCTTGGTCTGCCTGCCTGCCTGTCTCACCTATCAATGGGTGGGCGTATCATTAATAGCGCTTTAATTAGACAGCCAACCAGTTCAATAGTTCAGCAGCGCGACGGGTGTTACTTTTGGCGTTAATTGAAAAAAATTATATAAAGCCTGAGATCGGCCAAAGCGCGTTCATTCAGGCCAAATCAATTAGGCCTCTGGCCAAAGGCGCACATTAATCAAAGCATTGTTATGCTGTGAGGGGGGGTGCGTTGGCGAGGGTGTGGGCGGAGGGGCGAGGCGTCTGGGTGGCGCGCAGTTTGATTGGACGCCTGCGCGCTTTTGTTGCTGCCGCCATTTGCCGCCCTGTTGCGCCGCCATATTGCTAAATCACAAACGCAAATAAAACATAAAAAGGAGGAGAGCAAAAAAAAAAAAAAAACAACAACGGAAAAAAAGAACTGTTCAAGAAATATGAAAATCAACAGCCGGCAAAATATGAAAGTCGCCGAAGTTTATGACAAGCGCGGCGGCTAAAATCAAAGTCACTGAAATCATAAAAAAAAACGCCGTGTTGTTGTTGTTGTTGTCGCGAACCCTCCCCACCAGCTCACCTGAGTTTGTTTTTATTAGATTTTGCGACATTTTTGTTGTTTGCCGTTTGCGGCTTATCGCCGCCACGCGATTTTATGGCCACGCACACGAAAAGAGTTAGCGATAAGCGCACGTTGCATTAAGTAGCTGCCGCCGCGGGGCGGTGTGGGAGGAGCCTGCTGCAGCGCTAATTTGACCAGTAATTGTCGCCGCTCAGCCCCGGGATCAATCTAATTATTTTGCCAAATAAATACAACCCTTTGTGCACCCTTTCGTAATTCGCCACAGCTACAGCAACAGACAGATACAGCTACAAGCTACAAGATACAAATTACAAGTGACAACAGAACATAGCCTGAGATACAACACACACACCAACACACACGCACGCACTCGCTTAATCCTCGGCTACACCTTTGCCAGCCAGAACAGTTTTCCAGGTAACGCGCGAGGCAGGGCAAGGAGTAAAAGTGCGTCGCGCCCACCAAAAGGCGCACACAATGAGAGCGCATTGCAACGATCACCAAAAGACGATCACAAATTTTAGGGTTAGGCTTTAGGGTTCCGTCTCCTGAGCAGCCCAGCCTGGGCCAGCTACCTGGGCCACCCCGTTTAATTACGCTGGTAAAGGGTACACCCCTTTTTGGCCGTTTTCCCTTTGAGCCTGGGCCAATGTTTTGGTCGCTGGTCGCGGCCAACTGATGGTCGTTGCCCAACTATGTCCTTGGTCCTTTTATGACCCGTTGCCCATAGAAATGCACACGATATTGGCCGTGCGAGTCGCGGGCGTGACGCGTTTATGGTGTGTTTAGATACTTTTCGCAAGCAATGCGAATCGCAACAATGCCAAAATGCACCCGTCTAACCTTGACTTTTACTGCGGCACATCCCTTTACAACATACAAATTTATCCATCTATATAGCGCATATTTACCTAATTATAAAATGCATTTCAGCGCAAAGTCTCGTGCGCTTCAAGGCCTGAGACAATTTTCCGACTTTTACTTTTCGCAACTTTTTGCCATTCGAAAATCTCACTTTGAGCTGTTTTCATTGGAAGCATTTTCGCATTTATTTGATTGTTGTCTACTTTTTCCTGTTCTCTTATTTTCCCAAATTGCATTTCAGTTCGCCTTGAAGCTAGCTGCAAAATGACGGAAATTTGGTTAAGAGCTCAAGGAAAATAAGCCTGGCAGCAGCAGGTTACGCATAAGAAAAAATCTATTTATATGACAGGAAAAAAAGCATAAAAGACAAATTCATTTAGCATATAATGTATTAAATATTCGGCTTTTTGTCAGTTATTATGGTGTGATAATTGTGCCACATTATTCTCATTTATAAAGATTGTTGTGAAATGAAAGGAAATGAAGGAGATATCTCCAACCCCATTAAGTATATATATTTTTAGCCTTTCTGTTGCAGAAACCGGCCGAATCGAACCATTACATCATATACATGTCATAGGCATGTTCGGTAAACATTGTGTGGGAGAAACTCTTTTCTTTTTTAAGGTAGCTTAACCAAACTTGTCATATACGAGTTATACCATGCTTCCGTCTTATATTAACAAAATTCTGGATTAAAAGCCATATTCTTGTAAGAACAACTGAAAAAACTAGGCATATACAAGTTCTGTCTTGTTCCCTGCTTATCTTAGCAATATCGGACAACTATATCATATAGCTGCCATAGGAATGATCGGGCCAAATGCAAGTTATTGTGTGAAAATCTTTTTTGTTTTTCAAGATATTTTTTTTTCCTTGGGTTTTTGAAGAGTTAAGATAACAAATTGTGATTGGAAATTTATAAGTATATATTTTCTTTTATAATGAAGCGACTTTGAACACAATTTATTTCTAATTAATTTCTAATTATTATTAATTTACCCTAAACATATTGATTGCACCTTTGCTATGCCTGTATCATTTATTTATTTATAAATATGTATTTTCACATTTTTCAAGGAGCGGCAATATAATTCGATATGTTCGTTTGGCTGTCTTTAATTCAAAGAATTCCTTGAAGGCCATTCGAAATGCTCTAAAAACATTTAACACCCAAAGCCAAAGGCAAGCACACTATGATTGCAATGTTAATTTATGCTCACAGTAATGCCAAGAAAACTACAACAAAAAATTGATTTTAGTGTGAAAAAAACCAAGAGCTCAAAAAAGTTACGAATACCAAAAGAGCAGCAGACATTTTTTGTACATTAGCATTTTGGGCCGTGAAATTTGGTCACAAAGCGACTTTGCACTAAAAAATCTAATTTTTTTCGACGAAATAAATATAAAAAAAAAAAAACAAACAAACAACAACTGGCAGCAAAATGAAATCATAAACGAGGCAGTTGAATAATGAAGAAAAATTTTGTCAAAAATTGCTAAAAACCAGGCCAACTAACACTAAGGCCATGGGCCAAGGGTCTTCCTCGAAGCACTCGCAGTTTTTATGGCCAAAATAGAAAAAGAAAATATAGTGGGAAAAGAAGCAGCAGCAGCAAAGGCAGAGGCAAAAGCCAAGTAAGTTGTCATTTTTGGTTTTATGATGATTTTGTTTTTTGCTGCTCTCGTTGTTATATTTTTTACGCTCTAGATTTTTTGTGCCCGCCGTTGGCAACAACAACAGCATCCAGCCAGGGGCATGGGCAGGGGCAGGTGCAGGCAGTAGGCAGCCGGGCTACTAATGTCGAGCAGTTGGCAGTTCTTTTTGGCCCGTTTTTATGGTTTTATGGCATAATGACTTCTTTATTGGTGCAGCATTTAAGACGCTATCCTTGGGCAGGTCCTGAGCCCAGTCTCTTTTTATGATGCTGCCTCGGCCGATTTCCGTTTCCGAGTTTTCGACTCGACATTTATGCAAATACTCAGCGACAGATGTGTGTGTGTGTGTTTGTAAAGTTAATCCTTTATGCATGTGTCGACTGTTCGCATAGCAGGAAGTTGACAGTTGGTGCCATATATCATAACTGTGTGTGTGCGTGTGTGCGAGTGTGTGTGTCTGTGCGCTGGGAAATATTCGGCCTGTGCCTTTCATGTGACTCACGGACTGCCCAACTATCCGACTGTTTGTGTTTTTATCTATTTATTTATTTGTTTTTAGTACACTTATGACATGATGTTAATTACTGCGCGTGCATTCCGATTGGCTATGGGAAACACTTTGAAATGGAAAAGTTCGCCGACTGTTTGCCAAGTGTCAACAGCGGCGTTGCCAGTTGCCAGTTGCCAAACGGCCAAGAAAGCTGCCAGTTCCAGACAGAAACAGAACACTAAGTACAACAACAAAAACAACAACAACAACAACAACTAACAACTGTCAAGAGACACACACGCGTGCAACATGGAGTCGGGAATTCTGTTTTTGGCCAGGATATTTGATTTAGCCGGTTGACTTTGCATTTATCTCGTCTGTTGTTTTTAAGAATTGGGAAAATTGACGAAAAATTGTTGTGTAAATATTTTGTAATTGGCTTTCGTCGGCACAGTAGTGACTTTTCCCATTAGTCCACCGGGTAGAAGTCAAAAATAACCAAAAAGTGTGCCACTAAGCTGGCCAAGGTCTATGCTAAATCCTGCTCCTAGTCCGCGACTTAGTCGGTGTTTGGTTGTGGCTTAAAGCAATGATAATAACATATGGGAAAGTTGTTGTTTAATTGATGGATTTGCGGCATTCGTTAATGTGTGGTAAAACCGGCTAAGAAATGAATGTGGGCAACAGAAGTTGGAAATCTTAGTTCAAGAAAGAAGATTGCTTAAAAATGTTAACGAATGGCAAAATAATTAAAGTATGCACAAATATAAACCTTTCCCTATTAAGATCAGATATGGAAAATGCATACACGCATAACATTTTTCTTTACAAAAAACTTAATTAGCTTTTATTAATTATTCTAATATATTTTTGTTCTCTCTGGGTTCTACATGTCTTATGTTGGCTATAGAACTTAAAGGTTTTATTATATTTATATTCAAAATTCTATTCTGTATATATTATTTTAAGCCCAAGTGTATTATCTTGCTTTTTCTGTGCACATATTTTTGAATATTCTTATCCGAATTTTATAACGCAAATTGTTCAATAAAATTAGTTGCCTGTTGATAAGCCTAACACAATATGCTCCCAGTGTGAAATTCTCAGAAAACCAATTTTTTCGATAACCACAGTTTTTTTTTTTTTTGCTATTTTAATAATAAATAAAGTAGCTATTTATTATTTCGCAGGATTAGAAATTTTAACATTTCTGGGTTCTATTATCAATAATAATTTGGAAAATTTTACTTTAATTTCGAGAAAATCTAAATAAACAGGAAAAATGCGGATCGTATTTCTAAGTCTAAAGGTCTAAATAGGCTAAAATATCAATATAGTTTTTCTATTGCATTCAGAATTGTATTATTTTAAACTCGTTTCTCGTCTTCGCAGTTCTCTTTGAATGGGGCAATTTGTTATGGTAAATTTATGCATTACAGCAAATCGATTTTATCAATTTTTCACATCAAATAATCATAATCTACCGACAAATATTTATAGCTAAAAAATTATAGAAAATTGAATAAGTGTGCTTTTTGTCTTCTTCTCGTGCGGACCCATAAATTGGCACTACTTGACTCTCATTAGGTATTTAAGAGACTTTAAGCACATTTTAAATGAATAGCTTAAAGCATTTCAAATGTGAAACTCATTACAGGCGATTTCCAACGGGCAACGGAAGGCGCAATTAACTTAGATAATTAACTTAACAAATGCATATAATGGGTTTTTAAAGTTAAATGGCCATTAAATTACAAGGGGGAAGAGTATTTGTGAATAATATGCAAAGTTCAAAGTGAATTGTTGATACTTTAACTAAAATGGTTCACATTAAACACAAATAACATTCTCACAAATCGGAAATATAAATTTCAAATGTGTTCCATTAGATTATTCGTGTCCTTTGTGGAAATTCCAAAGTTGCACAGTATGTAAGGTTTAATCATACGGAAAATCAGCATAAATAATGCGACGTAAAATGGGAAATTCAATCGCCCTATCAACAAATGAGTTTAGCCAACATTTGCTTTGATGCGGCTAATTGAATTTTCCTGCGAAAGTGTAAAACGTAAAACGTAAAACGTAAAACGTAAAACGTAAAACGTGGGAGGCAGTCAAAAAAGTGATTTCTGATTTGTGTGGCAAATTAAAATTTAAATGCAAACGAATCAGGCGCACGCACCCACATATACACACACTCATACACACACATGCGAAAAAGGACAATAGATTACAATATCCTGGGGCGAGGCAAAAAGCAGCACGAGCAACAGCAGCAGGAGCAGGACATACAGGCCCAGATGGCCGGGGCATGCGCCTGGGTGGGATGCGGGTCGTCTCCGTGCTGATGGCTGCCTGCCAGCAGCAGCAGCAGCAGCAACAGCAGCGGCAGCAGCAGCAGCAGCAGCAACGGCAGCCGACAACGGCGTCCGACCATCAGCCCAACGGTTTCCGCTTGCTTACTGCCAGTGAGCAGCGGCGAGTGGTTCGGGCAGAGCGGAGAACGCGAGGCGATGCCGAGTGGCTGGAGTCGTGGAGTTCCTGAACGATGCCGAACACGCGCGCATACTGCAGACAACGCACACAAGAAGAAGAAACAAAACAAAAAGCCGATACAGATACGGCTGCCGCTGGGATTTGAAACCAGCCAATCGGAGCGCTTCGTGGGGCAGCAGGTAGGCGTGTACGTATCTGCCATTTCCAAATAAATTCAACCCCGGCAACAAAAGCAACAACAACAACGACGACAAAAAGGCAGCTGCCGTTGGTTCGCTTCAAAACCGGTCGACGACGCCGCAGTTGCATTCAGTTATTAACGAGCGCTACTCACAGCTACAGCAACAGCAGCAGCAGCAGCAGCCACAGCAACAGCAGAAGCAGCAGCAACGGCAGCAGCCACAGCAGAAGTCATTTCACTCAACACACACACACAGAGACAGACGCGCGCACACGCTATCAGTCGACCAGCGTGGTTGTGTGAGAGAGCGAGAGGGCAAGAGCGCACTTGATATACGCGTTGAGTCCGTTGATTATTTTCACGAGTTTGAGTCGGAGAGCGCAACAGAAAAACAGAATTCAGTTTGAGTTGAGACGTTGTCGTGGGCACGTCGCAGCAAAGAGAAGAGCGCATAGCAGCAAAACACAAAACAGCTACAGCGAAAAATAAGACGTAAAGCCAGAGACCAAAGCAAAAAGAAAACAAGTTAAACAGTTGGTGCAAAGTGACAGTGCAACAACAAATCAAGTGCTAACAACACAAACAAACAGAGAACAACAACAACAACAAAAACAACAAAGTAGAAAAAATAAGGGAATATGTCTTCCACTTCCGCCTCGCCCATCAGCAACATAACCGTGGACGACGAGCTTAACATAAGCAGAGAACAAGGTAAGCAGCAAAAGGCAAAAGCCGACGGCAAAAGCTTAGCTAGGATACAGTTACAAAATCAACTAACTGTTGTTGCTCAAAGCACGGCTCGGGTCAACTCAAGCCAGCTGAACTCACCAACAAACTTACAGTTGAGCTGTATTTGGAGTACAATTGAACTAAACGAAAAGTTTGCTTTTCGCACAAATTTTAGATTTTGTCGAGGAGGATTTCATTGTCATCAAGGAGGAGCGCGAGAGCAGCTTGTCACCCATGCTGACACCACCGCACACGCCCACCGAGGAGCCGCTGCGACGTGCTGGCAGCTCGGTCACAGCCGCAGACGAGTCGGTGGCCACGCAGCTGCACATGCGACACATGGCGCACTACCAGCAGCAACAGCAACAGCAGCAGCAGCAACATCAGCAGCAGCAGCAGCAGCAACATCATCGTCTTTGGCTGCAGATGCAACAGCAGCATCCACATGGCCATTATCCGGTCTACGCCGGAGCCAATGCCGATCCCGTGGCCGTGCATCAGCAGGCGCTGCTCATGAACCAATGGATACGCAATGCTGCCATCTACCAGCAGCAACAGCAGCAGCAACAGCAGGCAGCAGCTGCTGCAGCGGCGCATCATCATCACCCGCATTCGCACTCGCACTCGCACTCGCATCCACACCATCCGCATCACCATGGCCATCCTCATGCACATGGCCATCCCCATGTGCGTCCCTATCCCGCTGGACTGCATACGCTGCACGCCGCCGCTCGCCATTTTGGAGTTATGCCCAGTTTGAAGCTGAGCGGCGCCGGAGCAGCTGGCGCCACCGGAACAACGGGCAGCAGTCGCCCCAAGAAGCAGTTCATCTGCAAGTATTGCAATCGCCAGTTCACCAAGTCCTACAATCTGCTCATCCATGAGCGCACCCACACAGACGAGCGTCCCTACTCCTGTGACATATGCGGCAAGGCCTTCAGGCGCCAGGATCATCTCAGGGATCATCGCTATATACACTCCAAGGAGAAGCCATTCAAGTGCAATGACTGCGGCAAGGGCTTCTGCCAATCGCGCACTCTGGCCGTGCACAAGGTCACCCACCTGGAGGAGGGTCCCCACAAGTGCCCTATCTGCCAGCGCAGCTTCAATCAGCGCGCGAATCTCAAGAGCCATCTGCAGAGCCACAGCGAGTCGGCGACTGCGGCACAGGCAGCAGCAGCAGCAGCAGCGGCAGCCGCACCACCAACCCAGGCATTGAGCGCTGCAGCTCAACCTGCGCAGTTGGTTAGTCCCGGCTCCAATCAGAGCACGCCCGCCTTGGATCTGTCCTCGTCGGGTGGGGCCACAGCGCAGCGACCGAAGCGCACGCTGGGCTTCACCATTGATGAGATCATGAGCAGATAGATTGGGCAGCTGGTCGCAATTTATTGGTTTTACGTTCAGGATGCACGCACATCCAGAATTCTGAGCGCCGCCAGGCATGGGAAGTGCCTGGCCTGGAGTCGCAGTCAGCTCAGCAGCGCCGCCCAGTTCGAGAGTACGAGTTCGAGTTCGAGTTGCAGGGAACGCCCCCCCTGTCCAGCCAACGCTCGCCGTCGTCGCCGCCCCAGTGAACCACAGACAGTTCCGAACCAGTCACAACTAGCCCAATCGGCTCTATATATATAAATCCGATCTTATATAGCTGTCGCATTGGCGCTAAACACACTGCAAGATGCCAAAGCAAAACAAAAACAAAATGAAATAAACAAATGAGAACTTAAGTAAAAAGTATTCCTCCCACAGAACGATTCCAAAATATGGCAATAAAGAGTACTTTTGCCTCACTATATTTTAAGCATAAGTAGTATGAGTATTTCAACCACTTAGTAATGAGTAGTATCGAGTACTTAGTTATATAATCGTATGTACCTTATAGACTAGTAGCCGCATTCAGTTTGTAATACACACAATACCAATTCCCGGAGACAACCTCAGACCTCTATCGGTTATTCAAAGACTGTACAATTATTTGTTTGTTTTTTTACTGAATATATTTTATAAATACACAAGTACTTAAATCAATCCAATGTTTGTTAATTTTAGTTAAGTGTTATGCTTGTTTCTAATGACAAAACTTGAGTTCTATACATTTGTAGGCCAACCCGCACACAAAGACACAACGATCTCATTATCTTAGGTCTAGATATATATGTATATAGCTATCGCAAAATATATGAATTACGAGTAATTGTAAAAACTGAATTTTATTGGCTTGTCTTAACTTTATCATGACAAGTTTCTGTGAAATATAAAAATAACTAATAAAAGCGGGGTTTTTTCTTGAGCTCATAAATTTGCACTTCTCTTTGAAGGAGTACTTTCCTTTATTGAATATGTCATCTATATAAATGGAAAATACAAGAAAACCCTATTCTTGCAAGGAAACAAAAGACAGACATTTAATTTATATTTCTAGTCTGGAGTAATACAAACTTGGATAACTAAATCAGATAGTTCTCTTCAGCTGACAGATATTGGAACACAAAAAGTGACTCAAAGATTAATATTCCACTTGATTTAATTTGATTTGTTTTCTTACTATAAATTAACTTAATTTCAATTACAACAACAAAAAAACAATCAAGAACGCCATAGTAAAAAAAACCTATCGTTTTTGTGATGTTAAAATCAAATAAAAACAATAAAACCGAGCATGACTTTTGTAAAATCTGGCAAAGCAGCAGCATTTTTATAGCATACTATAAAATTTTGAAGAGATTAATTAATGTGAATAATGTTTATTGAAAGCATTTCAAAGGTAAAGATGGAATAAGTTATTTAAATATTTAAGTTATTTTTTCTGTCAACTCAATGAATTTTTTCACGTAAGTATTTGAAATATAAAATTATTTTAAATATAAAATAAATTATATTTAAATATAAAATTACAATTAGCTTGACAGATTTAAACAAAAAATCAACTATAAAATTCAACTTTACTTCATTTAAAATAATTCCTGTCATTTTCTCTTTTCGAACTAATTGAAATTGAGTAAAATGGCTGTAATATTTTGTTATACATTTTGTTATACTAATAAATTCTAAATATAGCCAGCATTTTATTTACAATTCCTGGAAAGCAAATTATCGCAACTTTCTATATATAGTTGTATTATCGGTACAATAAAATTACCCAAGCCAAAACGTATTTCTACACAGTCAGAAAATGTTATATTATTAGTATTATTATTATTATTTCTTAGTTTTTTTTTTTTGCTGGTCTCACCCACCTGTAATAAGCTGGCATTTTTGACGTTGTCAAAAATGCTGTCAAGTTGAGTTTTTAGGCAAATGCATAACTCAAATCGTTTCATATTTTAAGCATCTATTAATTAACAAGCTTCCAATTAAGCCACAGACTAGCTCCATAAGGCAACTGGTTTAGTTTAAAAGTGTCACAGATCTTAATTTATGATAACTCTTGAATTTGATGTTCGCATTTTGTTGATCTTTATTCGGGTAGATTTGGTTATATATTTCGGGGTGTGGTCGCTCGCTCGTTGTTTCCAGTTCTATAGAAGTCTATTGAAATTGGCACAGTGGTTAGGAACGTGCCAAATGCCAAGATCTAGACAATTGCCCATTGTGCTGGAGAGCGTGGGTTGCATTTCTGGATCTGGAACTGTTCGCATCGCATTGCCATTAGCACGCGCAGTACCAGGAACTGTTCTGTAGCTGAGCTAGAGATAGTTATCTGGCATTGGTCTTTAATTGAGATTAAGGTTCGATCTTTCTTCGAGGGGTTGCTAATGGCACCCGTTGCGTGTGTCGTCCCGCATGCCACAAGACACAGACATAGGTTTCCATGACAATGTTCCCTCTGCTCGATTGGTCCAGCTGCTGGGCTCATTTGCTGCCTCAATTTCCTTTACTGTTTTTCTTTTTGATGACACTGCCATTATGGCCATGTACAATTGATTTTGGGCCAACTAACCGACTCTCTACCTTGCCAATTGTCAGATGTGGCATGCAAAATGGAATGGTATAGGCTGCACATGGCACTATTGATGTCTACATTGCGTCTCTCAGCTGTGGCGTCCTAGGTGGCAACCGGACAAGTATACGGGACGCGCCCTCCTGCCACGCCTAGCAGACTCTGAGATATTTCAATATATCGGCCCTGTAGACAGCCTGCGGCTCTGTTGGCCAGTGGGTTGGCCAGCAAACGCAGCGAGGCGCTGTTGATTTTTATTTATATTTTGGGTCTAGTGTCTAGTCTTATCTTCTGGTCAACCGTAGAACTTGTTGCTATGCTGTAGGCTCTATGGTTCTGGCTGTGTTTTGGCAATAGCTCGCCGCAGGATACGTGGTGGCCAGGATACGAGCCTGTGGCCCGGTTCATGTCGCAGCATTCGACACACATTGTCCACAAACAGGCCCATAATTGCACGAATCCGCACTGCGTACAACCAAAATATTTTGTGAAAGTCACAGCGGGCGGCCAGGACAGAGGGAGGACAACCGCTACGGCCAGACAAGGATAGCAAGCGTGTTATCCTGTGAGCCCAGATTGATGGATATATTGTCGCCTTCACTCAGCCAGCCAACGGGGTTTTGTGTGCGTTTTTGTGCGTTTGTGCGTGTTTGTGTCTCTGTGTCATTTTTAGGCCACAATTAAACGTATCGGTTCCGCAACTAGGGTGGCATCTTCTGTTGCCCCTGCCCCTGCCCCTGACAAGGGCTGATTAAGCAGCAGGCAGTGGACAGCGTCTGCCAAAAGTGAGCCATTTGCTGCCCAGCAGCCAGCAGCCAGCAGCTAGAAGCACCCCTCCGGGCAGCTAGTGCTACCCCTGCTCAACGGGGGTTGCTGCTTAATGACATGACCGTGGACTGGACTGGCCCAGCTACATACAAGGCTGGCACAATTGGCCGGAGATTGGCCGGGCACGTTCGCACTCCAAGTGGCCTTGTGACCACCCAGAATAGCACGGAGCACGCATACGGGCCGTGGCCGTGGCCGTGGACAAATGAAGTTGCCTCTTGGCTCAATTTGAGCGGCAATTAAAACGTTGCAAATCGATTTGCCGCCATTCAATAATGCCACAGCCAGCGGCCACATTAGAAATGGACGCCATTTTTCTCGCCGTTGACAGCCACCGCACAAAGGCGGCGGCAAGCGGCCATCGTCGAGTGGTGCTTCGCGTCAAGTTGTTGCCCATGATCACAATCACGATAGGCCCAGCGATAGATGATTGCAGATGATGATGACAGCATCATAGACTGCCACGATGGCTCAAGCTGTTGCTCAAGTGGGCCAAGCCCAAAACTTGTCTCCGGTAATTGTACATTGTCTACGCTGTCAGCTCGTACCATTTGATATGCCGACGCCCGCCTTTTGCAATGACAAACGCCGCCGATGCCACTTGGCTTCATTATAAAACTAAAACACAAGGGTATGAAATTAATTTAAAAAAAAAAAAAGCCAAAATTCCGTGACTCCATCACATAATGTGATTTAATTCAATATTAATTACTCCACAGCTGGCTTTGTGAACTTGGAACCTCCTTAGATACTTAGCGGATTTCTAGGCAGGTCTTTGGCATCTAACAAATATGGATTAAAACAAAGTGAATATACTTAGTCTCCCTGGCTTTCCATCGTCTCCCTCAAGGGTTTTTTTTGCATCCTGTTCCGGTTCGTCGTGATTTTATGACATCTGCTTTGGTTCAATTATCTGTTAAAAATATTTTCTCTATCGAATTTTTTAAAAAGGGCTTATATCATATCATGAGGAAATTTAAGTTAGCTAGATAAAAGTCTTAAATTCTTGAAAAGAGTAGATGTTTATATTTTTGAATGCAGCAAATTTTCTTTATTCTTTTCTCGTCTTCAGTTTTCGAACAGCTTAGTCGATTTATGAACACGAGCGAACCACAATAGAGTTAGTAATTTGCATTGATAGCCTTTACATATTTAAAAAATTAAAAGTTTAGTTTTTGTTGTTGAGCATAAGTTAGTTTTTTACGTGTCTGCGGGCCAATATTTGTGCAATCATGAAATTTTCCATGTAGTGTAAGATTTCTCAATGTTGTTGGCCCCACCCCTGTTGATGCACTTTACACATTTCCGCACAGTAGTTGCACATGTCACAACTTGACATTGTTGTCGTTCCCTAATTGCATTACAAGCGTTGTTACTTAGCAGGCAAGCCCCACAGCACGCACACACGTGCACACGAGGAGATACGTACTTTGAGATACTTGAAGTATCTGTAACTCACTTGACTACGAAGCATGTCACAGTTACTGTTACTGTTTAGGTTTCCAACTCTGTTAACGACGTGCTGGGTGTTCTCCTGGCTGAGATTTTATTGCCTCGGTCTTGGCCTGGGTCCCTATCCCGATCGCCCGGTCAGCTGCGCTATCTATCTGCTTATTTGACACTTTTGTTTTGCCTAAAAAGGTGTCTTAACTATACTATCACTTAGAGAGAGAGAGAGAGAGAGAGAGGGGGAGAGAGACGTTAGCTTGAACAATACGAATTGCTCTAACAATTTAATCGGTATGCGTGCTGGCTTATCGGCAGGGCTCAATCGGGACGCTGGGCATTAATTGACACCTTAGCATGGAGCTAGGCCTGAAACCGAACCCTGTGACAGGGGACTGTCAATTAGTTGCTGAATTTATCGCTAGGCACAAATCAGTTTTGGAAAATTTGTAACCCGAAAACGCCGCAGCTAAAAGAGCGATCAATTTTATTGTAAACTAACTAGGGAGGTCTGCTCACCCCGCTGCCCCCGCTCCTTCTCTAATACGGTGTGGTCGTATCGTGTGTGTAAGCCAAGCACTTATTGAGAACTTAATTGAATTACCCAGCGAGAACGAGGGACCCGCACCTTGTCCCCAAGGCGTTCTATTCCGCTGTCCAACTGCCTGTCTCTCTGCCTGTCTGTCTTCTGGTCTGTTGATTGTCTGCCCGTCTGTTGTTGTGGCCAGCAAGAGACAAAAACAACAAGCGGCGATAAAGATGAAACGTCCAATAGTCTCAGTCTCGAGCCCAGTCCCAGACTTAGTCCAT